CATGCTCGTCCAGAAATCGTTCGGGCTTAAATTGGTTTGGCTCGGGCCAGTATTTTTCATTCATAAGAATACCAGCCTGGTGCAGTACGACCTGGGTGCTTTTGGGTATGTTATACGGACCTAACCATATTTAGTCGTATAAAATTTAAATGTCATAATCAGTATACTTAATACCATTTATTAATACCTAGTTTACAATCTACAAATGCCTTATGAAATAGGCTTAGAGGTGTGGGATTTCTAAAGCGCAACATTTCCATCACAAATGCCATATTATAACATAGTATTAATTTGTCCTGAATTACAGGCACTCGATCACTAATCTCCATGCTTATTTCGTCGCGTAGTTTATCTTGGTAATCCGGATAAACAGCAATATATAATAATATCCATTGAAATAATGTTTGAGTAGTTTCAGTGCCCGCTATTAAAATAAACTTGATTATAAATAACGCATAATATAATATATAAAATTGTTTATAACATTCATCATAAACAATACTTCGCATCTTCCATAAAAAGCTTTCAAAAAAAGTTTTAAACTAATCATAATTTTTGATGCATTATAATAACTATCCAAACATTAATCACAAATGCCATTACATTTATTTATTAATTTTGTCATCAAATGAGTGACATCGAGTGAGTTATTGAAAAAATAATTGAGAGAGTGATTGAGAATATGAAAACTAATTTTAAACAACATTTTTACACAATATTTTAATTAAAAACAACTAAATTCACTAAATAAAAACAATGTACCTCTCTCATCATTTGCTTACATCATATTTGAATGCATAAAGATGATTAAAAATGGTGTATAAAGTATGTTACCCTAAAATATCCCCGTTTACCCAAATTTACCCGCCTAGCGAAACTATGATCATAAACGAAATGAACATTTTAAATTAACTTGCCCGAAAACAATTCAATTAGAGCGACTGGTAAATTATCGTCGGTAAAATAGGGTGCCGTCTGTTTGTCATCAGCAATGGCCTCGTGTTTGGCGGCGATAAGTATATCACAAAAATCTCGCAAATTGTTTGGATCATGTGTTTTATCATGTTTAATATATATCTCTCGAGTATAAGCTAGCAATTCCTTAAAATAGCGCTTGTATTTAATCAATGGGTTGGCCATAAAATAACGAATCACTGGTATAAACTCGTATAGATACAGAGAGTTACCCAGGTCAGTTAGAAAATCAGTAGAGATGTATTTAAACTTGCGCAATTCAGTCTGCTCTATATCAAATCTAGAATAATAAATATTTTTATTAATATATAAATTAATTAATATAATTAATTAGCTTATAAATAATAAATTAAACTTATTTACTTTTCACTAAAAACAATCGAGCCGGCAATATTAGCGTACAAATTGTAGACATACAACATGGGTGAAAATGGTCGATCAGTACCCTCGCGGTCAATCATTTGGTCTATCATACGTTTAACGGAATGGTTCACAAGTGTAGGTAATTCTTTAGATCTAGCATATTGCCTAATTTATATGTTTTATGATTTATTCGTGTGTTATAATAAGCAAATTATTGTAATATTATATTACCTTATTGCTTTATGCGATACGCGCCGTAAACTCTCCCAACTATGTCCATAATCATTAAATAATATGTCGCAATGTTGTTCATTGTTAAATATACTCCCTAAGTCATATTTAACATATAATTTGTTAAATTAAACATGTTTATTATGTTTTGTTATATAAAACTAAAGATATCTTTATTATTATGCAAATTTATTTGCCTACCTATTTGCGAATCAGGGCGGCCAGTAAATTCAATTTTATTAAAAGCCTCCTTGGCCATTTTAATATCACATATAAACACGAATGGTAAAGGACCAATCCATATGGTAAACACCGGGCCATAGATTTTGCTTAATTTACTTATTTCCAGATTCCAATGCTTTTGAAAGTTACGAAATACTAGAATAAGAAATATAAATAAAAGTATATTTCATACATTTAAATCTCAATGACAAAAATATGATACATTAATACAGGAATTTATATGCACTAGGTGGGTTGCATCCATTTATAAATGTTATTAAGACAATTAATATGCATGAATAATAAATGCATGCTTTTGTACAGTTTATAAAATAATAAATATTTTATATTATTAAATAATAGTAATGTGATTTAAGAGTAGAAGTGTAATACTATTTTTAAATATATTATGATTTTATTACACCATGCATATTATATAAATAAATCTTAATAATGGTTTAAATAAGTTTATTTCACTTACATAGTACATTGCCTATTAGTGGTAAAGGTATTGGACCAGGTGGATAATTGTATAATTTAGCATAGAACCGCACAGTATAATACACAAGTACTATAATTATTGCCGGTATATAAATACCATTTATTAAAATTATTAAATCACTAAAATTTAAATATAAATTAAAATAATTGTTAATAATTGTAGTAATTTATTTAAACATCTCTCTCTCTCTCTCTCTCTCTCTCTTCTCTCTCTCTCTATCTCTCTCTTCTCTCTCTCAAGCTCTCAAATTAATTTAATACAAATAAATGATAGTGATCATAATTGCTATTATGCAACATATATTTTTACAATTTGTGACTGACTTGTGAGTGATTGAATGAGAGAGAGAGAGAGAGAGAGAGAGAGTACACATTACCTTACTAAATCAAGCATCACCAGTATAATTGATTAATCCAATTGCAATTAGACAATTTATAAATGATACAATCGGTCTTTTTAACAATTTCGTTTATTAAAACTTTCACTAATAAAGATAATTTTAAACTGAAATTTCAATTCCACATTAAAGATAAAAATTTAATAAAATACAATTAATGTACATCATACACTTTTAACTATTAACTTAATATTGGTTGAACATGTGTTCAGATTATCAGTTTTATTTCTGTTTGTTAGAGTAAAATGTTTTTTTGTAGAAAATATAGAAACGAGTTATAGTCTTATTGATTACATAGTAATTTAAAATAACCTTGTATAGTTTTAAACATAACGTTAACATAACAGTAACGTTACCATATTTTAGAACAAAATAAACAAAATAATTTGCAGAGAAGTAAAAATAAAATAATATTAAAATAGTTTTTGTAAGTTTTGTATTATAGTTATAAAACACACAAACTTATACTTAAAGCAAGGTTAACGTAATATTAATGATTACGTAATAATTACATGATTAAAAATATTTAAATAATCAACTATGGTTAAAAACTACTGCTGGATATGTGCATGAGATGACCACATGTTTCCCTCATTATGTATTAAAAGTTGATTAAATATTATAAGTTATAATTTATAACTTAATAATATTAAATAATATAAAATTGCATTATTAGATCTTAAATTATAATTAATTAAAATAACTAAATAATCAGTTTTACATACATTTTACAAATATATTTTTACTTTAAACATAGATCAAATTTGTTAAGTTAAATTTTTTAAAATAATTAGTACTGATATCATCTAAAAATCCTTTTAACTAAACTAATTTCCAGATCTTTAGAAAACTTTGATTTTGGTGTTAAAAATGTTAACACAGTTTATAAAATTAATCTTGTTATAATTTCCCTGTTAAATCAAGATGATGACAAACATTTAATAAAGTAAATTAAGACTTTAACAATAAAATAATTTTAATCTATATGAAATTCTTATTGTTACAAAACCCCATTTTAACGGATAATTTTGATAGCTTTACTGATCAATAAAAAAAAAGATTTAACAATAATTTGTGAAAATTACAAAGTTTTTAAAAAGTGATTTTAATAATTTTTAATATAATTAATTTTATAATTAATTAATTACAATGGCAACATTAATTCACATTAATTTTTATTGATTACTACATTCATGATTAACATTTATGAATATATTGTAACTTAACGTTATTACATTTCCAACGGTTATATTCAAAAATTTAAGCTAATTTTAATCAAATAATTAAATAAAAAGTATTTTATCATTTTGATTTTAAAACAATTTTAAATTGTTTAGGAAATTGTATCAATAAATTAATTGGATCTGGTTCAAGATCAGCACCATTACCATGTTCATTGTAAAACTCTATTCGATAGCTTGAAGTCAACTGTATAAACCTAACTAAGCTCAAAAATAAGTCAGTGATGGCCAACTGTTCGCCGGGGCAAATACGGCGTCCGCAGCTGAATGGTATATAAGCGGAATGTTTTGTGTCTAGAAATTGACCATGCTTGTCCAAAAATCGTTCGGGCTTAAATTGGTTTGGCTCGCACCAGTACTGTTCATTCATAAGAATACCTGCCTGGTGCAGTACGACCTGGGTGTTTTTAGGTATGTTAAACGGACCTAACCATATTTTGTTGTATAAAATGTAACTGTAAATATGATACTAATGTATCATGTGAAATAATATATTAATACCTAGTTTACAATCTACGAGTGCTTTATGAAATACGCTCAGAGGAGTGGGATTTCTAAAGCGTAACATTTCCATTACAAATGCCATATTATAGCATAATTTTGATTTGTCCTGGATTACAGGCACTCGGTCACCAATCTCCCTGCTTATTTCGTCGCGTAGTTTATCTTGGTAATCCGGATTAACGGCAATATATAATAATAGCCATTGAAATAATGTTTGCGTAGTTTCAGTGCCCGCTATTTAAATAAACTTGATTATAAATAACGTTCATCACATAAACAAAATTAACATTTTAAAATAACTTGCCCATAAACAAGTCAATTAGAACGACCGGTAGGTTATCATCGGTAAAATAAGGTGCCGTCTGTTTGTCCTCAGCAATGGCCTCGTGTTTAGCGGCGATAAGTATATCACAAAAGTCACGCAAATTATTGTTAAGATCATGTGTTTTATCATGTTTTATATATATATCTCGCGTATAATTTAGCATTTCTTTGAAATAGCGCTTGTATTTAATTAATGGGTTGGCCATAAAATAGCGAATCACCGGTATAAACTCGTATAGAAAAAGCGAATTACCCAGGTCAGTTAGAAAATCAGTAGAAATGTATTTAAACTTTCGTAACTCAGTTTGCTCTATATCAAATCTGGAAGCAATTAATATTTGTATTAAATTATAAATAAATCAGATATATTATCATAATTGTTTAGTTTATAGATATCCAATTAAGCTTATTTACCTTTCACTAAAAACAATGGTGCCCACAATATTGGCGTACAAATTGTAGACATGCAACATGGGAGAAAATGGCCGATCAGTACCTTCGCGGTCAATCATTTGTTCTATCATACGTTTAACGCAATCGCTCACAAGTGTAGGTAATTCTTTGGATTTCGCATATTGTCTAATTATAATGTTAATTTAGTAAGTTGTTGTAATAGCTGGATTATTGTAATATTATTGCCTTATTGTTTTATGCGATACGCGCCGTAAACTCTCCCAACTATGTCCATAGTCGTTAAATATAATGTCGCTATGTTGATCATTGTTAAATATACTCCCTAAGTAATATATTAAATTAATCAGGTTTATTATGTTATATAAAACTAAGGATATGCTTATTATCATGCAAATTCATTTGCCTACCTATTTGCGAATCAGGGCGGCCGGTAAACTCGCTTTTATTAAAAGCCTCCTTGGCCATTTCAATATCACATATAAACACGAATGGTAAGGGACCGATCCATATGGTAAACACTGGGCCATAGATTTTGCTCAGTTTACTTATTTCCAGGTTCCAATGCTTTTTAAAGTTACGAAATACTAAAATAAAAAATACATGGAAATGTATATTTTATACATTTAAATCTCAATGAAAAAAATAAAATACATTGATACAGGAATTTATATCAATTAGGTGGTCTGTAGCCATTTATAAATGTTATTAACAACATAATTATACAAGATTAATAAATGTATAATTTTAGTACAGTTTATAAAATAATACATAATTTAAATATTGTAACGGTTTTATGAGCCGATCGGTCTTATCTACTAACTATGGACGCTCATATCTGACCATCGGCCGACTTACCGCTACTATTCCCGCTATATTTGTCTACATTACCCTAAGATTCAATATGTGGTTGGCTTTGATTATCGATACTTATCTGGTTATCGATGTCGGCCACCAATTAGGCCTGTCCGCGTCGTCCTCCCGACGGTATGTACCTACAGTCTCTTGGGTTATTAATCGTCTTTATACGGTGAATAATAGTAGGCCATGGGTTGGTAGTATATACTAGTTTATTATGCTTACAACATTTAAATAATACATAGATATAGGGTTTATATAGATGTTAATAGTTATGGGAATCATATAGTTATTAATAGAACCAAGAGTTAAGCCAACGAGCGTCTCTTCCCAACCCGACGATTGAGTGCCGGTATGTCGGTTATATAGTGGGTCATATGGGCATTACACATGTGCCGTATGGGTGGAGTGTATGGGAGTGTATGGGCTGGTTAAGGGCCAAACAATAAGATTTAAAAGATCTAATTGGTTAAAGGCCTAGTAACAGGCTAAGGTAACAGTTACAGGTTACCGGATCAGTGACAGAGCACAGCAGCGGTAACAGTTAAAAGTAACAGGAAATGCAGAGTAACATATGAGTGCACTGCAAGTGCATTAGTGAACTAACGGGTTACAGTACTAATGGGTATAAGAGTACTATACTGCAATTAAAAGGAATAGAGACAAAGGAGTGACGTAATACAAACGGAGTATTGAGTAATCCGTTGCACTCGTCCATCCTGCAAATTAAACCTCCCGGTTTAACAGAAGACCTTACTCAGAGGTTGGCTTTGACTTAACTTTACAATAGTTAGTAAATTAAATAATACATTTCATTAGAATCTCATGGTATCAAAAGGTGGATTTATCCACAAAAACTTTCCACGGCATGCTAGATTCTTCTGATCATGCATTTTATAATAATGCTTATATATTAAAGATTATTTAAACATCAGAGTAATAATAGATTATATAATGATTATTTCATAAAGATTAATAATATTACAATCGTTATACGATATATAATAATATAGATAATAATAATAGTTAGTTATCACTGAATTCAGGTAATTATTGATGTAGGTAAGTTAAGTAAATTAATATAAGTTATAACATTTATGGTTTTAAAATAATTATAATAATTATATTGAATAAAATCTTTTAATTGAACTCGAGCTCAAATCGTTACGATGTCTTCTCCACTACAGATAACTGTCTAGGCCTTGTGGTTGGAGACATGTTAACGAGATGTTCTCAAATTAGATTGGCCAATGATCTTCTATCTTTGGGTTTGAACCACGATGACGTCAACACGACGTTTTCTAATTCTTGAATTCATTAATTATTTTCATCATTGTTGAGCTACTATCATCGTGAAGTCTCGCCCGCAATTGATAAGTCCCGTCGAACTTGTGTGGCCAAGGCTTCACGGTGAGGGTTTCTCGGACATTTGCTAGCTTTCTTGAATCTTAACTCGGAAGTAATGGACATGTCTATTTCATCACCCAATGTTTGTTTCATACTATGGCTTCTTATTTCAAAAAAAATACTAAATTCTCTGACGCTAATTTCTTCATTAATAATTCTATTAATTTCTTTAAAATGTTCATCGTAATAGTGATCAAAATTCTATTTCTCTTATCTGGGTGATAGTTGACTACTGTCTTCAACACCAGTTGTTGAGTTAGTTCAGTCAACTGCGTACGCAGCGTCCGTAACCAGGAGTTGGTCCTCCGCCACTGTAGCGTAAGCTGAGCCGATGTCCCCAAACTTATCACTGTTCTGCGCAAGGTTGATCTCCAACTCGGGTCCTGGGCCGCTAATATGGATTCGTAACATTATTTCGTTAGCAATACTATGTCGAATCCACAATATAATAATTTCAGTATTCTTATCTTTATGAACAACAAAAGTTTTAACAAATTTGTATTTCAGCGCTGTTGTAGTCAAATTAATTTATTTTCACTTGTATTGCTTTCACGGAGTTTTAAGTATTTTGCAGTTTAAGTTAGTTATTATGAAAGAATATAGGATCATTCATAATCGTTATTTTGTAATTCCAAATAGTCAATATACTCCTTAATTTTATTTGAAAAATGCGTAGTTTAATTTTGCTATCGTTTTCCAAATTGTCAAAAAAATGATTCATAAAAAATGTATTGTTATATCAATAGTTTGATAGCAACGTTATTATAGCGATCCTTTGCGATAATTATTAAGTTATTTATTAAATTCAGCGACTTATGGTGTGATAAGTTTTTTATAAATAACACAATTTTATTATTAACTTTTTCACAATTATTATATTGAATATTCAAAATTAAGCACAACTTTAAAAGTAACTTATTTATATAATAGATTTAGTGGAACGTACTGTAACAAGTTGTCATCATTTTGAGGTTTTATTTTCTTATCTTATATGGTGCCCATCTTACACCATTCGTTGCATACTGATTTCCTGCACTTAATAAAGTGACACTTGCTTCTCGATTTACTGTTGTAACGAATAATAAAGCTTTTCCAACGGTTACATCCTTTGAGTGTCGAACGACATTAACAATAAGATTAGGATGTACGTATTTATTTTGCCAACTCATGATAAGTTTTCGAATAACGGCTGTGACGTCATCATCCCGTTTGGTGTACACGCCTAAGATGACCAGTTGATATGGGTGATACCGATATCGTGATGAATTATTGTCGCTCTGATGCTTATCATTAAGTGTTTCGCGGTTAACTATTGAGTCTGGTAAAAATCTTTGCCATTTGATATCATTTGGTTTGTTTAAGTACTTCTTAGCTGAGTTCAACAATAGTTGATTTTCTTCCGAATTTCTTGCAGTAACAATTAGATTGCATTTCCCATCTGATTTGTTTGTACGGTAAACGCGCTCAATTATACTTGGATTAGTTTTAGAGTCTTTCCATTCATGTACGATATTTCGCACTATCTTTGTAACGTTTTCAGTGTTTCTTGTATATAAACCTTTAATAACAGATTTCAGGTTTTCGATATTATTTTCATTGGTTATAAATGGCTTCATCTCAGATGATCTGTATTTTTTTCGGTTTCTTGATGATATTATCGCGACATTGTGATCACTTTCCAGTTTGGTATTAGGTGACAGATCATTTGGTTGCTCGTTATGTCGTACGTTTGTGTAAGATTTTTGTGACGTCGAAGACATATTCAACAAAGGATTAACTTCACTTTTAGCGCAACTACTGGTTTTAATTGTAGCGACTTCTTCTGTTTGGTCACTGTGTGAAGAATCAATCATGTCATTGAAAAAATAAGTCTCGTCAACTAAATTTTTAAAATCGTGTGAATTGTCATTTCCATGTATTAAAGCAACTTGTATATCTTTGCGTTGCGCTCTTCGTATAGTTGCGGCAAAAGAAATATCATCAGTAATTAATGTCATAATAGATTCAGATCCAAATTTATCTATAAACATGTTAATTAGTTCTTGAAGCTTAATTGTACTTCGTTCTTTAATTCCGGACTCCATGTGAACCACAATTACTCCATTTTTGTCTAACAATTCACAAATGCGTTGCTTTACGCGCCTGGCATCGCAGACGCAAAAGAATTCTCTAATATAGCCACAATCCGGGTGAGTTTGTTGCAGCTGTTGACGTATTCGGTTAATCATATCGGATACACACTTCTTCTTCGGAATAGGACACGTTGCCATGTCCCAAAAAACACCTAACGGCTTTTTGTTGTAAACGTTCATAGTTTGGGTGATTGTAGTTTGTAGTTATTAGGCGTTTTTCTTGTAGATGTCAGGAATACCGTTATGGATATTAACTAGCGACGTGACTTTATTGTTGAAAAAGGACATGTGTTAATTAGCATTAGCTTTGATGAACTCCAAATTGAGTTTGTATAACATTAGAAGTTGAATTGTCTAGTGGGTTGTCTAGTATTGGTATGCCTTAAATAGTGTCGTCACTGTTTTACGACTTCGGCATATAACCAATGTCTTTATATCCTTTTATTGTTCTCGTTTTTATTTGGTTGAAATAGATTTAGAGTAATTATAATTTAATTGGTATTTATTGTAAATAAACATGAATGTTAAATTATATTATCTGTATTGTGTTGGTTTATTATTGAATAATTGTTCTAATTTTATGTGTAATGTAACAAACGATCATTTAATTATATTTCTAATTAATTTTGTTTGTAAAAATTGTTTAATAATGAGTGAATACTTTACTTTACTTGTGTATAAACATTATATATAGGTTGTATTTTAATAATTTTTGCTTGTTATTTTATTGTGTAAATATAATTTTATTTTGTTTTTGTATTTTTATTTAAATTTCTATTTTATATATGTATTTAAATTTTGTATTTGTATGTTGTATTTCTAATTTATATTTCTATTTTTATTTTGCATCGTTATTTGTATTTCTATTTTGTATTTGTAAATCTATTTTGTATTTGTATTTCTATTTTGTATTTTGTATTTCTCTTAG